ACAACGTTGGACTTTCATCCTTTTTTGGAACTGCCAACTCATACAACTAGACCTTCGAAACGTGTAACCACGGATAATTTTTCGTCGACGGTCGACTTTTCTCAACGAAAAGGTATAGTACACCACGTGCTACCCTTCTTTGTCCTCGCGCCACGTGCCATCCTTTGTTTCCTCGCCACGTGCCTTTACGTGCCATCGTTCTTCGTCCTTTCCCCACGTGCTGAACTGCGCGCACAACGCATCATTTAAGGATAACTACCCCCGCACTGCCACAACTACGTAAAAAAAATCATCATGTCTGAGGCAGAAATTAATGACGATCACCGTCACATTTCACGCATTGCGATCAGACCCCCACCCTTCTGGAAGGGCAACCCTAACTTATGGTTTGCTCAGTTGGAAGCACAATTTTCGATAAATAACATAACCGTCGACGACACCAAATTTAAACACGTCGTTGCTGCAATAGAGCCGGAAATTTTAAATTCGGTGCAGGACCTAATCCTCAACCCGCCCGACCAGAATAAATTTTCCACGCTAAAGGCTCGTCTCATCGACGTCTATTCCGAGAGCGAGACCTCCAAAATCAGAACTCTTCTTCAAGGGTTGGAACTGGGAGACCAACGTCCATCCTTCCTATTATCACGGATGCGCGACTTGGCCGGAAACCATTTTAGCGAAGACCTGCTACAATCTCTCTGGCTGTCGAGACTTCCTCATAACGTACAGGCCATTTTAGCCGCATCTAAGGAAAAACTCCAACAACAGGCCGCCATGGTCGACAAGATAATGGAATTAGTCTCCCCCGCTCACATTCAAACGGTCGAACATGACCATGCCACTATCTCCATCTTGAAGAACCATGTTGCGGAATTAGCCCAGCAGGTCAAGAACCTCACATTATCCATCAACAACCAACGCCACTCCTTCACACGTTCTGATTACCCTCCCAACAACAGGAGGCACCGCAGCAAATCGCGGCAGAATCAACAGCACAGCACCCTCCAACGGCATGTGTTACTACCACGCTACCTTTGGGGAGCAGGCGAGGAAATGCAAAGCCCCTTGCTCCTTCCGACCGTCGGAAAACTGACTAGGCAGGCGCTTACGGCCAGAAGCCTCACCCACCACATCGATCGAATCACCATGGCCGACCCTACTACGAAATACAAATTCCTAATTGACACAGGCGCCGACATCTCCGTTATCCCAAAAAGTTCTAACATGTATTTATGCAAACCCGACAAGCTAGTCCTCTTTGCTGCAAACGGAACGCCTATTTCAACTTATGGAACAAAACTATTAACACTCAACTTTAACTTAAAGCGGAATTTTTTGTGGCCATTTGTAATCGCTGACGTAACCCAACCCATCATAGAAATCGACTTCTTAACTAAATTCAACCTACTGGTGGACATTAAAAACAATCGACTAATCGATGGAGTCACGCAACTAAAGTCTCCTGGTTGCTGGCAGAACCGACCTACAACTGTCACTAACATCACCACTGTGACTAATGACTCTCCCTACCACCGTATCATGGCCGAGTTCACTACCATCACAAATCCGTCAATAATCCCCGAAAACAAGAAAACACCAACCACCTTTCATCACATCGAGACTAAAGGACCACCTGTCTTCTCAAAACCCAGACGGTTACCACCACATACGCTCCGAGCAGCACAGGAAGAATTTCGGTTCTTAATGTCCCAAGGCATCATCAGACCATCCAAAAGCCCCTGGGCCAGCCCACTACACATGGTCAAGAAGGCAAATGGCCAGTGGCGACCATGCGGCGACTACCGTCGTCTCAACGCTGTAACAGTCCCTGACCGCTACCCTGTTCCTCATATACAGGACTGTACTCAACTCCTAGAAGGCAAAACCATTTTTTCCACCCTGGATCTAACCCGCGCCTATCACCAAATACCGGTCTTCCCCGAGGACATTCCGAAAACAGCCATAACAACCCCGTTTGGCTTGTTCGAATACATCTATATGCCTTTCGGTCTACGAAACGCTGGTCAAACCTTCCAGCGATACATCCACCAAGTCCTACTTGGCCTCGACTTCTGCATCCCGTATTTCGACGATATATTGGTCGCGTCCAAAGATGCGGACGAACACACAGACCATCTCCGCCAAACGTTCCTCCGCTTGCAAGAGCACGGCCTAAAACTAAATCCATCCAAATGCATCCTCGGAAAATCTGCAGTTCCATTCCTCGGCTGCATGATTACATCATCCGGAGTTAAACCTTTGCCATCAAAAACCAAAGCCATCAACGATTTTCCTCAACCAAAAACTGTAGCTGAGCTCCGTCGCTTCTTAGCCATGCTCAATTTTTATAGACGTTTTTTGCCAAATGCAGCCCAAACTCAGGCCCCACTACTCGAATTTCTCAAGGACTCCACAAAAAATGATAAACGCATCATCTCCTGGAACGAATCTGCTCTAAAGTCCTTCAACCAATGTAAAGCAGATCTCTCAAATGCAACGACTCTGGCATACTATTCGTCACATGACAATCTCTCCCTAATGGTAGACGCATCTAATGTCGCCATCGGCGCTGTACTCCAAACCCATACCGCCGAAGGAACTCGTCCACTAGCCTTCTTTTCACGGAAACTAACGCCTACCGAAATAAAGTACAGCACCTACGACAGGGAACTGCTGGCTATATACTCCGCGATCAAGCACTTCCGCCATACCATCGAAGGTCGAGACTTTGTCATCTTTACGGACCATCGCCCCCTCACCTTCGCTTTTCGCCAAAAACCAGAATCTTGCTCCCCACGTCAGCTGCGACATCTCGATTACATTGCGCAGTTCAGCACCAACATCAGGCACGTCACTGGCTCGAACAACATCGTAGCAGACACTCTCTCTCGGATCAACGAGATTCGACTTCCCGTGACAGACTTTACCGCCATTGCGGAAGCTCAAGCAAACGACGACGAGCTAACCGCACTCCTCACGGACGATAAAACAGCACTCACGCTACAGCCACTTCGAATCAGCCCGTCACTACAACTATATTGTGACACCAAGGACAGCAAAGTTCGCCCATATATACCACTCCAATTTCGCCGTCGAATCTTCTCTTCCATGCACAATCTGGCCCATCCAGGAATTCGTGCAACGAGGCGTCTTGTCCAAGAACGTTTCGTGTGGCCTTCGATGCAGAAAGACATCGCCAATTGGACCCGTTCCTGCATTAACTGCCAACGGTCCAAAGTGAATCGGCACACCAACAGCCCTCTTCAGAGATTCGACCTCCCATCCAATCGGTTTTCACATGTGCATCTCGACCTCGTCGGACCACTCCCGCCTTCAAATGGATCTACCTATCTACTCACCTGCATAGATAGATTCACGAGGTGGCCGGAAGCTGTTCCCCTCCACGACATTTCTGCTGAAACAGTCGCTCGCACTTTTGTCTCACATTGGATCTCCAGATTCGGTGTTCCCTCCATCATCACAACCGATCAAGGCCGACAATTCCAGTCTCATCTGTTCGCCTCACTGACAGCTATGTTGGGCATCCAACACATACGTACAACACCATACCATCCATCAGCCAATGGTTTAGTTGAACGATTCCATCGTTCGCTAAAACAGGCTCTCAGATGCCACGAACAACACTGGACGGAATCTCTCCCAATCGTCCTACTCGGCCTTCGATCAGCGTTAAAAGAAGACATCAATGGCACTTGTGCCGAGATGGTGTACGGCACAACCCTTCGTCTCCCGGCAGAGTTCTTCCATCCTTCGCAGGAACCGCCAGCAGACCCATCATCCTTCCTCCATCACCTACGGTCCACGATGCAGTCGCTCACGCCGACTCCAACATCTGCACATGTCAAACCTTCACACTTCGTCCATCCAGCACTCGACACCTGCTCCCACGTGTTTGTGCGAAAAGAAGGTCATAGAACTTCTCTGACCTCCCCTTACGATGGACCCTTCCCAGTTACCGTGCGGACACCCAAGCACTTCACGATCCTAGTCAACGGAAAAACAACAAAGGTCAACATCGATCGATTGAAACCAGCATTTCTGGACAGCGAGAACGCCAGCACATCGTCAAACTCGTCCAGGACAACACGTCCAGACTCCCCGGAGCGACCAAGGATAAACACTCCTAATAACTCCGTGCCTACCAACACGACGACGACGACACGTTCTGGAAGAAGAGTCAGGTTCAACCCCCGGTACCTTTAACTTCGTACCTACGGCACTGGGGGGGGGTACTGTGGCGACAGCTTTGGCGATAAACCCCAAAGTCGCCACAAGGGGGAACCCCTGACCTGACCTATGACATCACACACATTCTTGTTGGATTTGGACCTCTCCAGACGTGTGTAGTAACACCTCGTGTATTAACCTGTACAGTCGCGCCATAATTCATATATAGAATAAATGATAATCTTTTATTGTATGTGGCCCTGTTTGTAATGAGTAATTTCACACGAACTGGCGCCCACAAAAGGTATTTATCAACCTGCGATTCGTTTGTAAACTTGCTCTCTCAAACGGCCTAGTATATTTAGGGGCTATGCCAGAAATAGAATATATCTGTATTTTCTTTTGTTATAATTAAAATTGTTATTTATTTGTTACTATGGAATCCGAGTGAGTCACTTCCTCGTCTCTCTCCTCACCTCTACTCCAAATCCAACCATTCACCCGCTACTGCTCGCGTGACGTAACGTCGCAATTTTGAGTCCTGTGAGACTCGGTGTCACATCCTGACGTGGTGTCAAAGAGACACCGACCCTACGGTCACACAAGAAATCAAAAAATGTACCTTGAAATAAATGGCATTTGAAATTTAACATGTTATATGGAGACACATTCTGGTAGTTTTGTTACTCTTTTGCACATGAAAATTTAATGCTGGCCTATTCTGGCTTAATGCAGTCTTACTGGTCACTTTTCTGGAGTATAAACTCAGCCTAACTATAATTAACAAATTCTGTTTACAGCCATGTAACATTATGGCTGTAAACAGAATTTCAAGAGCTAAAACACCTTCTGGAACAACGGTCGTAAGAACGAACTTGCTACGTGCCCGTAGATGGATGAATAGAAATGGGATCACACTCGTCAGGGCTGACAAGGCCAAAACTATGGTGGTCATGAAGCAGGAAACGTATGATCATCTATTATTCGAGTACATCAACATTACAAACTGTGAAGAGGTGAGCAACAATACAGTGGAGAAATTACACGCGAAGGTTAAGAAATTCAATAATAGTAAGTTAGCGAAAAGATTGGAATTTAAGAAAGTTGTAATGGACTCACCCGATACACCTAAACTTTTCGGATTTGCGAAAACGCACAAGTCGGGACAACAGATTCGCCCAGTGGTGGATAAAAATAGAGCACCAACCCAACAATTAGAAAAGCTGACGCACTCGTTGATTTCTCCATACTTGCATGACTACCCCTATACAGTAAACAGCAGTGAACAACTCCTAGCATACCTCAAGCAGGTGGACAATCCGCCACAATTTCTTACTGTATTCGATTTTAAGTCCCTATACCCATCAATTCTTCTTCCTCCAACATTTTGTGCCCTGAGGGATCTCTTATTCAGAATAGTTAATGACGCTAACCTACAACAACAAATCTTAGAGATGACGCACCTGTTATGTTACAACTCGTTATTTCAATTCAGAGGCAAAACGTACATGCAATCCAGGGGCGTACCGATGGGGAGCCCCATTGCAGGGGACTTATGTGAGTTGGTGATACGTCAATTAGAAGAAAGAGTCCTCCCACTCCATATCTCTAACATCATATTATACAGGAGGTATATTGATGATATCCTCATTCTATGGAAGGTTAAGCCTGACATATCAGCTTTCTTGGAATTGGTTAATGACAACAGATACGGCTTAACTCTAGAGCTGGACCAAGCACACGACAGGCAAGTGCATTTTCTGGATATTAGCATTAAGGTGGATGGAAAGAGGATCCAAACAGAGGTATACAGGAAACCTATTGCAGAACCGCTATACATACCAACAACATCGTGTGATCCTTACCATTATAAAATAGCGGCATTCAACACATTAATTAAGCGAGCCTATACTCATTCATCCACCAAGGCTGCTCTAGAATCTGAACATAGAACCATAGCTAACATAGCGAAACGCCATGGTTATTACAACCTTATGAATAAATTATCCAAGAAACTACGCCATCCGCAAGTATCCGCAAGAGACGCAGGGCAGGAAGATGACAGACCAGAGCATAAAGACAGAGTTCCGGTCACTTACAACCCGTGGTTACAGAAACTCTACTCAGAGATTGCGAAAAAGAAAAACATCAATATCACATACAGGAGATGTCCCACGGTCTTTAATATACTCCGTAATGCTAAAGATCCTCCCAACAATCACATGCTTTCGGGAGTATATACCATCCCATTGAAGGATCATCGATGTGATGAACAGCTATTATACATTGGATCCACTAAACGCTCGTTATCTGTCAGATTAAAAGAACACATCGCAGACATACAGCATGGAAGAATAACCACGGCACTCGCTCGTTATGCCACAGATCCAGATATCGATCCTAAGTTTAGTGAGGCTAGAATCATTCACACCACACCGCATACGGAACATCTAAGATGGATAGAGGCAATGTCTATATATAAAGCGGCCCGAAACAACAGGTGCATTAATAATAAGGAGGAATTATCTCTATCCCTAGCATGGGAAATGCTTATACAGGACAGAGAAAATATTCTATAAAAAGAAAATGTTTACATCGGTAAAATACACATGCGTATTGATGACGACAGCGGCAGAATTCATCGTATTAGTTGATCGTTTCTCATTCAAATTTGGATTCCATCGAATGTTTTTTGAGTATTTAAGTTTTTTCACCTGAAGAAGAACCTAAGTGGGTTCGAAAACGTTTGTGGGAACTTTTTAACCGGGTTTTTGTATTTAATTTCGCACCGTAAAGGTTTGTGGTCGATTAATTTTGCGTTAACACGGTGTTGTGGAGAAGTTCAGCCTAACTATTTTCATATTTAATTTTTTCAGTCCGATTAAAAATCAATCTAATATCATATGCAATGTTATTGATACAAAATGTGTGTGTTTGTTTGTTTTTTTTTAATAATGCCTCTTTTAGTTCACTTTTAACACTATTAGCTTTTTTAGCTTTTTTTCAGTGTGAACTCTCTTTTTTTACTTTTTTTCACTGCCATGACTGCTTTAAGTCCTGCAATATATATAAATTGTTTGCATGATTCTAATTATATTGTTTTTAAAATCCTTGTAAAATTGAGTAATGGAGTAATGTCTAATGGACTTTGAATTAAAAAAGGCAGACAGTATATATTTTACAA